TTGTCATTTAACAGCAGCCACTGACTGATGCTTTTAGCCACAGTCACCACATCTTAACGTTAGATGGGTGAAGACCGGTGACCCCTTCTTACCCTGGGCTGATGAGAGCTCTGGCTGTGCCCAATAGGCATGGCAGGTGGCGAAGTGGGTGGCTCCGAGGTCGTGGCTCCACGTAGAACCGCCAGCCAAATGCAACGAGGTTCGGGGGAGCTGCAGTCCACCCCCACCGGGTTCTGGAAGCTCCAGTCAGACCCGGCTGGCGCAGGACACGGGAGCATAGCAGCGGGCATCGGAGCGCTGAGTTTGGTCAGATCCGCATCGCTCGCCACCAACATGGGCTGCACACACTCAAGCACCAACACAAAGTCCTGGACGATGTCCAGACACAGATCTACAATCGAGCCAAGACAGGGTGGCTGCTTTTAGTGTCTTCCGATTCTCCAGTCATTTAACTTCACGCCTCCTGGCTCCAGTCCATTGTTGCTGCTGCTGCTGCTGAGCCTCGGGAAAGTTTAATCCAACAAGTTACACATCACAGCCTCCTGACCTCCATCGGTCAGCTCTCCAAGACCCTCATCCGCACTATTGGGGGGTTCGAACCAGAGGAAGAAAAAGGCAGCAGATAGAGGAGTGTGTGTGGTGCAGGGATCAGAGGTAGGTCTGGTTTCACTACAGACACACACACACAGACCAACTGACAGCAGCCCTCCTGTCGGTGTCCAGTGATGTTCTGCATTCAAAGCCACTCTGTCCACCCCCCAAAACACACAACTGCTGTCCCAGAGGGCTGGATCTTCTGTCTCTCCTCCCTCCCACTGCCCCCACTCTCTCCTTTCACCCTCCCTCTCTACCTCTAGTGCCAGACAAACTTCATCTCTCTCTCATCTTAATCCCGAATGTTTACTTTATCGCAGCGACCATCAGCTACTCGATCTGTTGCTTTTCTGTTGCGTCTCCTCTTTTGCTTTCTCTTTAGTCCTTGTTTTTGTTACTCGGACTGTATCCAGACAGTTACTGACTCCTTCCACATGAACCGGTCTGACTGTCATCAGTAAACAAACACCTGTGCACTGTAAAGAGGAACTCTTGAAGCCATACGTTGGGAAAAACCGAGAGCGGGTCAGCTGTTAACGGTCCAGGTGAAGATATCTCCTGTGGGGTTGCTGCTGGTAGGTTAAATCCTCGTTGGATCCTTCCTGTGCTGCACGTGTGCTGCACATGTGTGTGTGTGAGCGACACAAACACAGTGACAGAGCTTTGGTCCCGTTGCTAAACTCCACAAAAGCCAGCCCTGCCTCCGCCGCCTCCCCTCCACTCAAAGGGGAGACGAAAAAAAAAGAGAGAAAAGAGAAAGAGGCCAATTTGCAGCACAAAGAGAGAGGAAAAAAAACATTTGCGGCTGCTATGCTTAGTCTTCTACTCCCTTTTTCTTATAGTTAGGAGGGGAAAACACAGAGGAGGGAGAATGATAATGAGAGAACATGGAAAAAAGCTGCCAAAGACAGAGAAGGAGAGCAACGGGCGCTGCTGTGGTTGTAAAAGCTCTGAAAATAACACGGTCACTACTGGATGTGAACATGACCTCTTTGTCAAGCCTATACTCCCACTCTCACGTGCAGACACACTCCTTCCCAGAGGACCCACCCATATACAACACAGTGACACCTGAAAACCACTAAATCAGTCAGGGGTGAGTTCTCACCAAACAGCCAGGCGTCCAGGGTACGTGCGAGAGCGGCAGACAGGTAACCATGTTGTTGTTACAGACAGCCAACGTTCCCCTCCGGTTGTCGTCACTGTTAACCTGCCGAGCATCCGTTACCGATGAGGTTAGACAGGTTTCACCTGCCGAACAGCGGGGCAAGTTCCAACTTGACTGGAGAAGGCCGTCATCCGCAAAAAACACCGTACCCTCTGGATATGTCGCACTATGCCAACAAGAACACACACTGCGGGCTTTGATAGTTTATACTCACTGAGGAGGTGAGAAATTAACGAGTCTGTTACTTTCACAGGCAGAAACATACCCCAAGAAGAGTGAATAATAGTGGCATGTCCAATAAAAGTACCAAAGTTAATATAAAATATGAACTCAAAGCGTTTCGGTGTCATTTAGCACTTTAATATGATACCCTGTGCTTCTCTTCCGTGTGGGTCACTTTTTCTTTTTTTTTTGTTAATCTTGTGCAAACACACAAGGATGTATACATGTGCGTTAGGAAGATATGTTACATTTACTCCAGCAAGTTAAGATATTGTGCAATGTGTGGCTGCAAATGCAAGGCTGAAAAATGAAGCAAATCTGGAAAGGCTAAAGATACTTCCTTAACTCTGAAGTTAACGTTCCCCTTCTCTACATCTCTACTTACCAATTTAAATTTTATTATGGTGTAACATTATGCAACATTGAGTGACAGGACAACAGTCTACACACCAGTTTTGGTGAATGAAATTCAAGCAGTTTCGTTTCACATCATTCTTTCACAAGTATCTGTGTGATGCTAATCGCTTTGCTAATCAAGCTAGCTACGCTCTCATCCAGATGTGATCACTTCGAGATCCCTGCAGTGGTCCTACGTTCAATACAACCATGTTTTATGTGCAGTCTGTGGGATCAGTCGTTGAATGATGTAAAGAGTAATTTATTTACAATAAAACTCTGATTTACATTATGTGAGATCTTTGATCAAGAATCCAGAATGTTATAATTGGCCTGAAGTCACCCACATATCACTCACAGGCCATGCTCTTCATGTTCTCAATTTTGCATTACAGCAAACATTGGAAAGGCTTTAAAAAGCTTTTTTATTAATAAGCTCCAAGTATTCATACACAGCATGCAAACATCTGATCTTGTTCAATTTTGTGCGTGTTAGCAACAGGCCTATTAAAGCAGCAAGGCGCTTGCACTGCGTGACTGATATGCATCCTTAATTCGTACGTCATCATAATAACGAACATCATTTTTATGGGCGTCACACATTTTCTATTTTTCTACTTCCAAGAGTCACATAGTGGCTCTTTTAATGATCTTTCCTGCAGAAATAACAAACTACATTGAGGTGGATCCACACCTCACTTTATCCCCAGTTAGTTTATTGAGTCAGTAGACTTTCACTTACACACACAGGCACACACACACACACAGAAACCAGTTACATGTGAATACAAAAGGCTGGTTTTCTTGTGCACATGCATACACACAAGCACATGCCACATGTCCCACTGAGTCACTGCTGAGTATAAATACACTAGGCTATGTAATTATGGTTCCACTTAAAGTCAGAAGGCTGTGGCTGCAGGGGGGTTTGTCTTCTCTCTGTGGTTCAGACCAGAGCTTCGGGTTCAATGCACCACCAGCCGGAACCGCCCTGCTGGATCACCAGGGGGAGGTCCGATTCATCACCAGGAGGGGGAGATGCGAGAGAAAGAAAAAGCCAGACGGGGATTTAAAATCTGCATCCATTTCAAAGCGGCAGCACCGAGGTGGGATTTCATATGGCACTTTTCACAATAACAGTTAGTTTTAGTGAGGCGGGAGGAGTGCCTAATTTGGAAACAAAAGGTTTCTGGCTGTCTCACACCCTCTCTTTCTCTCTGTCACCCTTTCATGAACCATGGCGGCACTTACAAAAACAGGAGGTTAAGTGAGAAAAAAAAGAGAGATGGCTGGCAAAAGAAAAATGAAAATAAAGGCATTGAGTTACAGTTCATCTGATGTGAGCCACACGTGAGGAGCTCGAACAAAAGCACATGGTCTACTGGTTAGCTGAAACATGCCCGAGCAGGCAGACATCACCTGCATATGGGCTTAATTTAAATCATAACAGCATACCTTTTTTTTTATCTAGCTTGTAACGATTTGAATTCTCAGTAAACAGCACTCGAGGTTTTTTCTTCCCCCCGTTTCTTTTAGATCTTAAGCTGGGAGCGCAAAACTCCTGGAAATGTCAGGAAATCAAAGCCCGACATGCACCGCAGCTCTCAGAGGAGCGACGTCTCTGCCCCTCACTGCTCTCCCGACAACAAACACATCTGTGGAAAGTGAAAACTGCCCGCTGGTGTAAGGGACAGATTAGTCTGGCGATATGTTTTAATCCCTCTCATAGTCGGATCATGACAGTGAGCCAACCGATTAACGCACAGTGGCCTCCCTACCCTTTTTGTTTTCCCCACTGCAGCTTCCTCGCAAGGCAAAACAAAAGTC